TGATCATATGGATTTCTTTACCTGTTTTTTGGCCGCCTGTATATCTTCTTTAGTCAAGTGTCTGTTCATGTTCTTTGCCTGTTTTTCGGTTGGGTTGTCTTTTTGGTGTTGAGGTGTTGAAGGTTTCTATAAAGAGATTAGTCCATTGCTAGATATGTCATAGCCAAATATTTTTTCCAAATCTATAGGTTCCCCTTTTACCTTTTGGGAGAACTCTCTTGGTGCACATAAGAATTAAATTAATTAATTATCTTACTTTCTTAAGGGTGTGTCACCCTGGATTGAGTGGTCTGCATGTACATCTTGTTAACTATTGGGCTGAGAGCCAGCCCCTGGGAGTGAGTTTTATTCCAGGTACAGAATGTATTCCAGGTCCATAGTATTGGGGGTTTCACCGGACTCCATCTGACCAGTAATTCTGGTCATTATTGAGTTTTTGGATTTTGTTCCACGTTTTTCCTCCCACTTTATCCAGGATCTCCAGATTTGATCATTTCGTGAGTGGTTGGCACTGGTAACCAGGCACTATGTAGTTCTTCTGGTCTCGAGGGCCATCATGTCCTTGGCTGATTGCTTCCAAACGCCCTTTTTTATTTTTTGCACTCTTCTTCACTTCTGATGCTAGGAGACTATTAGCTGGATCTTAGATAGCCGCTTGAAAGCTTTTAAGACCCCGGTCACTACTCACCAATGTAGGATGAGGAACAAGGCTTTTATGTATTTTGTTGTACCAGGTGAGTCCAGTGTCCCCTAGTATTGTGGTCCTGAGACAGTAGATCCCTTGGATCTCTCTCCCATAGTGTCTGGATGTCTGTGAGGGATTGCTCTGTCTCTGTATTCTATTATTTCCGTAAGGATTGCAGGTATTTTGTATCACTGGTATCTGTGCAAGATGAGCCTGCGCTGAATCTGTCCTTGGTCTAGAGTATACTCCAGTTCACTGAGCCCCATCTGATCCTCTCAGGTGTTTATGTGTTTATCTGAAGTCTGGTGTTTGGTGTTAATGGTAATGCAGTATTGTGGGCACACTGGTTGGTATTAGCATCTGGAAGGGGAGGGATTAATTTCAGGCTAGTTGGGGCCAACATGCTGATGTGGGTAAGGGGAGGGATATATGGAAAGAGTCTGAGACCACCGTGATAACATTAGGAAAAGGGAGGACACTAAATTGTGCACATAGGAGATAGGCACAGATGCTAATACCAAGAATTTAATTTTTAAAAGGTCCCAGTCATCTAGTTTCTTTTCTGCTGCCTGTGCGTTTTGGGTTATGCTTGATAGTCAAATTATGCCATAAAGTAGGGCCCCTACATTTGCCCCTATTTTATCTTTGATGAGCTTTATAATTTTGGATTTTACATTTAAGTCTCTGATCCAACTTGAGTTTGTTTTTTGTGTGTGGGTGAAGTATGGGTCTTGTTTCATTTTTCTGTAAGTGGCTTTCCAGTTTTGCCAGCACCATTTATTAAAAATGAGGCTATCTCTTCCCTATTTAATGGGTTTTGTCCCTTTGTCACACATCAGCTGTCCATAAATGAATGGGTCTATTTCTCGGTTTTTGATTCTGTTCCATTGGTCAGAATGCCTTTCGCTGTACCAGTACCATGCTTTTTTGACTACTGTGGCTATATAGTAGATTTTGAGATCGGGGCGTATGAAACTTCCAACTTTGTTTTACTACTTTAGCAGTGCTTTTCTCATCTGCGGTCTCTTTCCTTACCATATTAAATTAGCGATTGTTTTTTCCATGCCCTTAAAAAATCAGGATTGGGATTGCATTGATTATATAGACTGCTTTGGGTAGTATTGACATTTTCACAATATTCAGTCCTCCCATCCATGAACATGGCATATTCTTCCATTTATGTAGATCTCTTCCATTTTCTGAAGAAATTGGCAAAGGACAAGGCTCTGGGAATTGACAGAATACCCACTAAGATGTTTCATTAAATGAATACTGTGCTGGAGGCACTCGTTTGTGCCGAGGAATTTGGAAGACAGCTACCTAGCCATCTGACTGGAAGAGATCCGTATTGTACCTATTGCAAAGAATGGTGATTCTGTAGAATGTGGAAGTTATCAAACAATAGCATTAGTAACACACTGAAGTAAAATCTTACTGAAGATAATTAAAAAACGATTGCAGCAATATATTGATAGAGAATTTCTAGAAATGCAAGCTGGATTCAGTAGAGGACTTGGATGAGGAATATCATTGCTGGATGTCAGATGGATCTTGGCTGAAAGCAGAGAATACCAGAATGATATTTACTTGTGTTTAATTGACTATGCAAAAGCATTCGATTGTGTGGATCATAGCAAATTATGGATAACATTGAGAAGAATGGGAATTCCAGAACGCTCATCAGGAACTGTACATAGACCATGAGATTGTTGTTTAAACAGAACAAGGGAATACTACATGGCTTAAAATCAGGAATGGAGTGCATCAGGGTTGTATCCTTTCACGATAGTCATTCAGTCTGTACGCTGAGCAAATAATTTGAGAAGCTGATTATATGAAGAAGAGTATGCCATCAGGATTGGAGGAAGACTCATTAACAGCCTGCGATACGCAGATGATGCAACTTTGCTTGCAGAGAGTGAAGATGACTTGAAGTGCTTATTGGTGAAGATTAAAGGCTACAGTTTGCAGAATGGATTACATCTGGACATACAGTAAATGAAAATCCTTACAACTGGACCAATAAGTAGCATCACGATAAATGGAGAGAAGATTGAAGTTGTGAAAGATGTCATATTACTTCATTCTACAGTCAACAGCAACATGCATGTGAAAGCTGGACAATGAATGAGGAAGACTGAAGAAGAGTTGATGCTTTTGAGTCGTGGTGCTGGAGCAGAATACTGAAAGTACCAGGGACTGCAAGAAGAAGTAATAAATCAGTCCTAGAAGAAGTGCAACTGCAGTGCTCCTTGGAAGTGAGAATGGCCCAACTTCGTCTCACCTACTTCGGTCATGTTGTCAGAAGAGACCATTTCCTGGAGAAGGATATCATGCTTGGTAAAGTGGAGTGTCATCAAAAAAGGGGAAGTCCCTCAACGAGATGGATTGACATAGTGGCTGCAACAATGGGCTCAAGTATAGGAAGGATTGTGAGTCTAGCCCAGGACCCAGCAGTGTTTTGTTCTGTTGTACATAAGGTCACTATGAGTCGGGGCCTACTTGACGGTACCTAACAACAGCAACAACTTGTAGTTTCTTGTAGAGTTTTGTAATTTTCTTTGTATAGGTCTTTTGTCTCCCTGGTAAGATCTATTCCTAACTATTTTATCATTTTGGGTAGCTGTTGTAAATGGTATTATGTTCCTTATTTCCTTTTCAAAGGTCTCTTTGTTAATGTAGATTAATCCAACTGATGTCTGTTTGTTGACCTTGTATCCTGCCACTTTGGTGAACCTTTCTATTAGTTCCAGTCATTGTTTTGCTGAGTCTCTTGGGTTTTCTACGTATAGGATCATGTCATCTGCAAATAGAGATAGCTTTACATGTTCTTTGCTGATTTGGATGCCTTTTATTTCCCTTTCTTGCCTTATTGCCCGGGTTAGGACTTCCAATACAATGTTGAATAGAAGTGGTGGTGGAGGGAGGGCATCCTTGTTTGGTTCCCATTCTCAAGGGAAATGCTTTGAGTCTTTTTCCATTAACAGTACTGCTGGCTGTTGGTTTTACTTCTGTGGACTTTTATTATGTTGAAGATGTTTCCAAGCTATCTGTATTTTGCTGAGAGTTTTGAACAGGAATGGGTATTGGATTTTATTGAATGCCTTTTCTACATCGATTGATATGACCATATGGTTCTGTTCTTTTCTTTTGTTTATGTGGTGGATTACATTGATTCTTTTCTGATGTTGAACCATCCTTACATACCTGGTTTAAATCCCACTTGGTCATAATGTATTATTTTTTTGATATTTGTTGGATTCCGGTGGCTAGGATTTCGTTGAAGATTTTTACATCTATGTTCTTAAGGGATATTGGTTTGTAGTTTTTCTTTTTAGTGGTATTTTTCCCTGATTTTGGTATCATTGTTATGCTTGCTTCATAGAATGCTCTGGAACAGCTTGAGTAGTATAGGAGTCAACTCTTCCCTGAACGTTTGGTAGAATTTTCCAGGAAGCCATTTGGACAGCCCTAGTTCTTTGCTCCCTCCTTTCTCTTCATTTCCTAGGGACACTACATCTCTCTTCAGCCCTCCTTTTGCTTCCCTTTAATTCTTTCCATATGTGGACTCCCTCTTCTCTCTATCCGTCCCCCTGAGGCTCTGACAATTCTGACCACCTTACTTTGCTTCAATAGCACTTCTTTGTTTCCCTGATTTCAAAAATACTGTGCTGTTATGAGTCACCCTCTCAGGTTTGATTATGTGGTATGTTTGTTTTTGGCTTCCTGGGTTCCCTGACCTGGGGATTATGCTTCCTGACATCTCAAAATGGGTATGCAGGCAGGTCACAGAAGATCAGTTGATGTCCGTTTTCCAGTTGGTTTCATTCCGTCACTCCTTCTTCTTGGTGCTTGGTTCAATTTTCCAGCTCTCGTTATATGTTCATGGGTCAGAGGTTCTTATTGTGTCTGTTTTATTTAATTTTTCAAGTCTTTGTTGTAGGGGGAATTTTATGGTGTATCTAACTAAGCTGCCATCTGACTAAGCTGCCATCTTAACCAGAACTCATCAGTAATAATGTTCTGAGTAAGCACTGTCATTCAACTTTCTTACTGGTTTATATCTCCTTTCATGTGGAAATATATTATTCATTCTACTATTAGACTTGAGAGGTTGTGGTGTCATAGCATTATATGAACTTCATTGTATAAATTAGTGTAAAACATCTTAACTAGGTTTTTTGATGTTAGCTCATTTTAATCTGAAGCTGTTTTTGTGAAAGTACAATACTCATCACTGTGTAGTATTCTTGATTATGCAGGTTCTTTCCTAATTCAGCAAGTGTTAACAGTCTTTTTGACTAACATAAAATAGGACAGTCTGCAGTATTTTGTGGCCGTTCTGGAAAACAGCTGAAGCGGTGCCACAGCAGTCAGCCTGGAATGCTGCTCGACAGCTGGTCCCGCATGGTGAAGAGCCTCAATGTGTCATCTTCTGTGAACCAGGCAGCTCATCTGATCGATGGCAGCGAGCCCTGCTGGCAGTCATCTGGGTCACAAGGAAAGGTAGCCACACATCGAGATTTAGATTTTTTTGCCTGTTAGATTTTCAAAATGAACTTGGAAACGTGGGATGGAACCTGTCAGCACTCATTTTATATTTTAATTAATAAGTTATTTTAAAGTTACATGAATAGCATATCATTCATCTTTTATTTTCAGAGGTTTTAAATAGTACAGCTAACTGATTTATTTAGCTGACAAATTAATGGAGGGTATCGTAGAGGTTTTTATCTTCTTCCCACCTAAAATGTAATGAATCCAGATTCAACTTCTGGGTACAGTTTTCTCTAACATGCTTACAAATATGTTTTGAGCTTTGGAATGCTCCTTCTATTTGAGTATATACCCAGGTCAAGTTAGGAGAGAGAATTTTCTCTACCTTGATTCCAGTGTTTTCTATAGCATACTCCCAAGATTGGTGATCTGTAAATACATCTTACTGGGGCTTAGGCTGAGAATTTCCTCTAATGAAGAGGTAATGGAATAGAATAATCTTGTTTGTGCCAGATTAAAAACAAAATTTTTTATCCCTCTCGTAGTACAATATATGTTGTTGTTCTTATGTGTTGTTGATATAGCGACCCCTCCTTGGATTTCTGTGGCAGTATCAGTACGGAAGTAGATTGTCCCATCTTCCTTCCGAGGAGTGCCTGGTGGGTTTGAACCGCCAGTCTTCTGATTAGCAGTC